GCATGTGTGTGTTATGCATAAAACAGTTCTGCTTAAAAGAATTAAGCAAACAGGCATCAGAGCCTTGTAAGTTTTTAAAGAGTGTTGGGCTCATTTTGATATAAATTTCATTAACCTCAGACATGCTGTTCTTGAAAAATATGATACACAGTGCTGAAAAATCAAGTTTTTAAGTCTCAGTGCACATGAGAAAGTGCTGATTTGTGAACAGTGACTTCAAATACTGGTGAAAATACCAAAGGTAATCACAGCCTAATGGTCGGTTGGACTAGGTTTGACACTTTGCATGTCTTCAAAGCATAAGCTATTTCAATAAAATTGGTCACGACATGACCAAGTGGTGGACCTTGCCATACTGCACTGCAATGGCGAGAAGCTACCAATACAAATCAAAGCAGGAGAAACGTCATACTATTTGCTGGGGTTCATTCGGGTTTCAAAAGAAATTGTGGGGGCACTTGTCCTGCGAATGAGCTGGGCAGAAATTCTTACTTGAATTAGTGGACTGCACCCCTACAGTAGAGTCGCCTAATGTGGTGCGCTTCAACTTTCACTTGACTTTCCTCATACAGTGTTGCCAAACCTCTTGTTTGAAAAACCTTCAAATTCATTTGGTTAAAAACCGGTACTGTAACCTTCATAATACATGCTGTTGAACCTCTGTGAGCAATTTCAATGTCATGAAACGTCATCCAAAATTCACAAATGGTGGTGTCTGGTAATTGGGCAAGAATTCAGCTGAGTGTTTCCTAACGTGGCGCACTGGAAAAAATCCCACATGAACGTTGAGGAGGTTCATCGCACTTGCAATGAAATTTGAGGTAAAACTGTTGCTCTGGCAAGGCACTAGAAGCAAAAAATGAACGTGCGCCACGTTAGGGGCCATGCCAAGTTACGGTACTTCGTACTTTAACAATATACAAATAGATGAAGACACCTACCAGTACAAAACAGCACAAGTGTGAAAAATAATGACCAGTTTAATTTGTTTCCCTGAATTTCGAAGAAACTTTTTTGGGCACTTGAAATTATTCTATTTCCTTGCGATTGCAAAATTTCTGACTTATTCCTCTTTTTTCGTCTCGACTTATCCCAGTCCAATGTTGATGTGTCACTGCACCACTGACCAAAGTTTTGCAACACTAAATGAATACGATGTTTAAACGCTGTTCACTATGTCCTAAGTGTTACAAAAGTATGAGTTGATCAGTTCATCCAGAAGCTTACCTTGAAAAAAATGTGTGCACCCAACAGAGGCTCCCCCCCTGGACATTTAGCCCTAGTTACCGGTATGCCACTGAGTTCATCATTAATAAGCCACCTCCATCCTCCCAAATCTGCTGGGTGGTTTTGGAGGATTTTGGAGGATTGAGGATGAATGGTGATTGAAGCATGGAAGATTTTGGAGGATTACAGATGAATAGTGTTTTAAAAGCTGGAGGATTTCAGAGGATTGACGCATGCTGATTTAAAAGCTGGAGGATTTTGGAGGATTGAGGATGAATGGTGATTGAAGCATGAAAGATTTTGGAGGATTGCAGATGAATAGTGTTTTAAAGGCTGGAGGATTTTGGAGGACTGAGGTTGAATGGTGAATAAAGTACTAAAAATCAGTCCTGTAGTGGTGCATACGGTCACACATTATACTGTTTACAATATACATATGTACATGTACCCAAGGACAGTGTGTTCCACTGTTCACTGCTGCTGGTCATAAATTACACAATCATCAACTGCAGTGTGTTAAAATAAAGCACATGTCTGCTTTGTTTATAACTAAAGTAAAGCCGTTAGCCAACTCTGCAAAACACCAGCTTCAGCCCAGCAACCAACCTGCTGTGCCTAACCCCCCCCCAAAAAAGACAAAGAAAAAAAAAACAAACAAACCAACCCAAAGTAGGGCCATGGAGGATTTTGGAGGATTGACAATTCAGGTACATTTTATGGAGGATTTTGAAGGATTGAGGATGAATGCAATTTTTGAAGTTGGGCAAGATTTTGGAGGATTGAGGATATATCCTAGTAAAAAGACCCTAGCGGGTTGGGGTTACTATCAAGCTTAAGTTTACTTGGTAATTGTTGCCCATTGCCTTGGTGCTTTCATTATCAGAACCCATCATACACGCACATCCACCCACAAACAATAAACGAAAATGGAACCAAATCTTATGCTGAGCGCGATTTGAAGCTACCGTATGATCTCTGAACACCTCACCAACCGAACTATATGCACATGTATCTAGCTTTGTTGACATCTTCTTTAAAAATGGAAACACGGGAAGAGAAATATGCAGTACCTTGGTGACCATGTGACAAAATAACAACCATGGCGAAGGAGCAACAACAAATCAAAAGAAAAAGCAAACAAAACAGAGTAAATTTCTGTTTTTGACAAAATACACAAGGAAAGAAAACTTCAACAAATTATCTGGCATTCATATGTTCACAATTTCACGGCCCTACACGTTTAACACACATAGATAACAAGGAAAACAGCATCATTATGCGCAAAAACAGTGACTTTCCTGCAATGATGGAGGGGCCTATATTGATAGACTTTTTTCATAAGTCCAATGGTAAATTCATGTCCAGTAAGTATTCATGCCAGCAACACCCTGCAGTTCTGATTATGCTTCACAAGAGCACTCATTCATCTTCAAATTATCGTATATGTTTATTTGTGATATTTTGAGATTTGTTTTCAGTCTTGCAGACTTGACTAAGGGTTGGTGCCCTTTCAGTGGCATCAGGTTGCAACAGAATGACAAGCACATTGGCTGGTTCTTTCTTTCAACTTCGGGCAGTAAGACCATCAACGTGACAGGCAACCCATGGAACCTGTTTTATGGAAAGTCTTATTGTCTTCCAGAATCCTTCCATTTACATTTCCAGGCAACTGGATACATGTATGCCCATGAATAGATGTATATTCAAGTGTGTTACTGTAGTTCCCTTTCTTGTCCAAAGATTTTACTCTAGTCAGGCTTCTGAACTCCGATCTTCAAAAACTTGCCAGGATTTTTCCAGGTATTGGTTGCCAAACTTCCCAACAGGTCTACAGCAAAGCGTACATGTACCTTTCTGGAGAGGGCGAGAACCTAATTTTTCCAAGTTGTTCAGAACTTCCTCCAAACACCTTATCCAGAACATTATTACACGGACCTTTATCTCCCCTTCATGTTCAGAAAGAAGTTTTATGGCAAAGAACAGTACTCTGATTATAATGCACCCACAAAAAAGCAAATTCATGGTCAAAACAAATCAAAGGACAAAACTTTTCTTCTGAAATTCTAACTTGGTCACAAAAAAGTGCCAAGTTTATGCGAGTTTGATGATCATCAATACACAAAATACACATCACACCCAATACATTAGGCATGTTGCCAGGTAATCACTCGGTCAATTTGACTGGGTGTGCTGGCACGCAAAACCTAAAATCCGTGCTGAGAGCAGGCTCCACAAAACAGAGATTTATGCTGAGCAGAATTCTTATGGTAAGTGGGAAAAGAGCACCAATCAGACTCCGATGTCAAACTGGGGAAAAACCTGCGGGTTACAAAGTACAAAA